TCAATTAGACTTAGTGTGGTATAAGAAAAAGAAGGAAAAAGAGGTAGAAGGGGGAGGAAGAGGAGGAGGAGGAGGAGGAGGAGGAGGAGAAACACATGTTCTCAAGCCCTGAGGAAGGCTCATAGCTACTGCTGTGTGTTGACTTATATTTCCTCAGCAAAGATACTTCCCTAAAAGAATAAGGCTGAAGCTTAGGAGTAGAATGCTTCCCTAGCATACATAAGGCCCTGAGTTCAATCCTCAGCACTGACCAAGAAAAAAACAAAACAAAACATGAGCTTGATGTAAGTTAACTTATTTGGGTCATCGAGATGGATCCATGGGTAAAGATGCTTACCGTGCAAACTTGGCAACCTGAATTCGATTCCTGGAACCCACGTAAAAGTAGGAGAGAATTGACTCCACAAAATTGTCCTCTGACCACCATGTATGAGCTTTGGCATGACTGTGAACACACACACACACACACACACACACAATCTTCCTAGGTCCTGAGAATGTGGCCTTACTTAGAAGCAGGGATTTTGCAGATAAAGTGAAGTTTAAATGAGGTCATAAGGGATTAGGGTGAGCCCTACTCTAGTGACTGGTTCTTTGTGAGAAGGAAAGCGGGGCATACAGACCTATACAGAGGGCAGAGCACCATGAGAAACAGGCCATCCAAGATAGACCCTAAAGGCAGGTAGGCAGACTGAGTCCTCCACAGCCAGGAATGTCTAGTATACTGTCTGCCAACAGCAGCAAGAGGTGACTTACAGAGGTCTCTGAGCCTCTAAGAAGAAGCCTTCCCTGCTGACACCTGCTTCCAGACCTCTGGCCTCAGCTGTGGGTTTTCATTTGCTTGGTTTGTGTGTTTTGAGATGAGCTCTCACTATGTATCCCAAGTTAGCCTCCAACTCTCCTTCCTCTTGCCTCTGCCTCCTGAGTTCTGGATTGTAGTTGTGTGCCACCAGGCTTGAGTTCAAATTTCTTTGAGTTTGTTCATGTGTGTGGGTGAGAGTATGCCTGTTTCATGTGAGGATATGAGCATATATGTGTGCATATTTATGTGGAAGTCAGAGGACAACTTCAGGTATCCTTCCCCAGGCACCTTTCATCTTTTCTGTTTGAGATAAGGTCTCTCATTGGCCTGGAACTTTGCTAAGTAGGGTAGGCTAGCTGGTCAGTGAGCTCCAGGAATCTGCCTGTACCCACCTCCTATCTTACTGGGGTTACAGCATAGATTTCTACATAGATTTCTAAACTCACATTCTCACACTTGTGAAGCAAGCACTTTACTGATGTAGACATCTCTCTAGTTCCCTACATTTCAAGGGGCTTTGTTCTCTTTGTGTCAGGGTCTCACTATGTAGCCCTGGCTGGCCTGAAACTCACTATGTAGACTAGGCTGGTCTTGAATTTACAGAGATTCACTTGCCTCTGCCTTCTAAGTGCTGGAAATAAGGGCGTGCCTCACCACACCTGGTTCACTTTGGTTTTTGTTGTTGATTTTTTTTTTTTTTTGAGACAGGGTCTCCCTGTAGCCCCAGCTGACACGAACTTACTATGTAGACCAGGCTGGACTTGAACTCACAGAGCTCTGCTTGCCTCTGCCTCCCGAGTGCTGGGATTAAAGGCGTGCACCACCATGCCCCGCCGTTGTTTTTTTTGAGATGGTCTTCTGCACTGGCTCCTTCCTCTCTCTTGCTGAACATTTGTTGACCTTCCTGAGGGGGTACACAGGTCTGACTAAGGATGTTCCAGCTGCACTGTATCTGTACTCAATGCCAAATGGGAAGGTACTAACTATGTGGCTTTCTAACCAACTGAAGAATTTTTCAAATATTTGTTCTCGGCGCTGGGCGGCAATGGAGGCATTTTAAACAAGAAAGGTACCACATCTGAAATATCACCCTGAAGCCAGACATGATGAGTCAGGTGATCTCAGCACTCAAGAAGATGAGACAAAAGGATTGCCACACATTCAAGGCCAGCCTGGGCTACATAGGGAATGCCAGACTAGCTGGAGGCTATAGGGAGAAACTTTCTCAACTCCTTTCCCCAAATAAAGGAGAGAGAGAGAGGGAGAAAGAGACAGAGATAGAGAGAGACAGAGAGAAATGGCAAGCTGCATATCCCCACCACTGGGCTGAGTCCAGCTGCTCAGCATCGGATGCTTCCATCTCAGGGGGTGTCTTTGGTATCTTAAAGGAGAATGCCAGGAAACGGTGCAGGTTTTCTGTTTCATCAGTTCTCTTAGCCCTTCACCTTCTCTTCAACCCCACTCCACTGCTATAACCACACACACACACACACACACACACACACACACGCATGCCCTGCAGTCCCTGCTCTGTTTTGATAAGTGTCCCAAGAGGAAGTCTCTGGAGTGGCAAGATCAGGAGACCCTGAACTACAGAGCCCTGGTAATCATGGTCTTTCTCGTCTCCATTCCCAACCCAAAGAAAGGGTAGAATCTACATTTCCAGGGATTTGTTCTTTTTATTTTTGAAATAGGTTCCACTGTAGCCCAGGCTGGCCTGGAACTCACTATATAGCTCAGGCTAGTTTCAAACTCACACTCACAGTAGTCTTGCCTCAATCTGTCAAGTTCTGGGATCATAGACATGAACCATCATGCCTGGGCTTTTTTTTTTTTTTTCCTTCCTTTTTTAGTTGGTTATTTGTTTTGTTTTGTTGTCGGTTTAGATAGTCTCACTATGTAAGGTTGGCCTTGAACTTGTGACCCTCCTGCCTCACATCTCCAGTGTCTTTATGAAGACTATTAAAATGAATACATTTGCTCTAACACCATGTGCCAGAAATAACAACTATTCCCAAGTTAGCTGAAGCAGATACACATCAGGACCTCTTTATAACAGTGAACATACTTCTTCCAAACTCTTCTTGGAGCAGCAGAACACCAGCCAGACCAATCTGTATTTACCCTTTCTATGTAAAGACTGGAAGCTTCAAATAGACCCACTCCTAATGTTAAACTCCCAGTTGACACAGGAGCCAGGCCCTCTGTGGCTTCATCATCTCAACTGTGTTCTCTCTCAACCCAATACAGGTGCCAACTCAACAAGTGCAGATAGGGATGGGGTGAGAAGGTAAGATTATGGTCACTCTTACTGGTTCTAGCAGGTTGTAACCATTCCTGTCTCTTCTGAGGACTGTTTTCTTTTTCAATTTTTGTTTTTGAGATAAGAGTCTTGTATACCTTAAGCTGGACTTGAACTTGCAGTCCTTTTGCCTCAGCCTCCAAATACTGGCATGTATCACCATACCAGGATTTAGCTATGATAGGCTGTTGCTTTGTAGCCATGCCTGGCTTAATACTTTCTATGTAGCCCAGGTTGGCCTTGTACCATTGTACTCAAGGCAATCCTACTGCCTCCACAAATGCCAGGAAAAGAGGTGTGTACCAGACTTAAGCTTCTCCCACATGCCCAGGGTTTGGTGGGCTGTTGCTGCTGGGGGTTGAAGGGGATGCTTAGGCCAGCCTGAAGGGGGATGGAAGTTCTGGCTCTGGGAGAAGCTCCATGGACAGTGTCAAGAGCGCAAGGTAGCTATACAAACAGAGAGTGGTTGTCACTTTCTGAACATGAAGAAAATAAGGATGGGGGTCCTCGAGCCAATGGTCAGAGGGCTCCACTCTCAGGCCCCTGTCAGCCTGATCCTGGCAGTACTCTAACTGCTTGGCCTTGGGGCAGACCCAGACATCTGACCTTAGCTGAAAGGAATGGTAGGATAGGGCAAAGGGGGGAATGGGGGTTTAATGGCCCTCAATTTTAAAAAATTTTTAATTTTATGTGTATGAGTGTATTGTGTGCATGTATATGAGTGCACCCGTGACATAAAAGCCTACGGAGGCTAGAAGAGGGTGTCAGATCCCCTGGAACTAGAGTTACAGATGACGGTTAGCCACCATGTGGGTGCTGGGAATCAAACCCAGGTCCTCTGGAAGAGCAGCCAGTGCTCAACCGCTGAGCCATCTCTCCAGCCCCAATGGCCCTAAGTCTTGATTCAGCTTGAAGAAAAGCTGTGTATTAAGTCAGGCCTCTTCCCTCGATAGACAAAGAAAGGGCAGGCACCAATAGGGGATGTGCCTGGGTCAAACCATCGGAGAGAGGAAGAGAAACATAAGAGGTCACAGTTCTTACCCCAGCTGCCTTGGACCTTCCAACCCCACCCAGCTCTACCCAGAGATAAGTTTTTTCATTCTTAATTTAGTTAGTGAGTAGATAATAGAGACACATAAATTGTAGTGAGAAAAAAGATAAAAAAAAATATAAGTGGAAGGAATGTTTCACATGGACATGTCCAAGCCAGTGGCACAATGCCCTCTAGTACCAGAACCCTGAGCACGCTGGGACTTTAATATGAAAGGCCCATCAAATTAAAGGGTCTGTCTCCAGAGTAGAAGGTGGGCAGGCTGGGCCATGGGAAGGGTCCGGGTGGAAGAGGCTGGAAGGGTCAGCATAGCAGAACAGAGGAAGTGACACAGTGAGAGTGATGCAATTCTCCAAGAATCCTC